GTCTAGCGAAAAATCAAGGCTAGGAACTTCATTGCCTCCAAAGATATTAACCATACCATTAATTCTTAATTTGTTGTTTAAACAATGTTTATGTATAACTATTGGCATGAATTTTTGTATAGAAATAATGCAGCTCAATATGGGCTACCTTGATAATCAAAACATGGTACTGACCATACTCTTTGGTTCTTTCGGTGAAGTCACGTAGCTGAAAAGAAAAGAAAATAATAAAAAGGAATAAAATAAAAATGAAAATAACTCAATTAAATCACGACGTTTCGGAAACAACACAAGCCACAGCAAGAAATAATTTGCTGATTATTTCTTGCTGTAGCTGTCCTACCTGATGACGGAGGCTTGTGTTGCTTCCGAAACTTCGTGATTTAATTCGTTATTTTAATTTTATTTTATTATTTTCACCTACGTGACTTTACCGAAAGAACCAAAGAGCGGATCATTTGAGTCAAGAAAACTTCAAATCTAGAATGGTACTGACCCTTGATCTGTCGCAGAAGTTATAGAGTATGATAACTAGATGGCTTCCCCAGTACCACTGGACACAACTCCCTTGGGTGGCAGAAGATTCAATGACCCATAACCCCCAAGCAATTTGACCCCAGTGCCCTTCATAATGTCTCTATGGAACCTACGACTGTCAATTTCATCAAGATTGGAGGTGGTAAAATTTCGTTCTGTTTGAGTGATCTGACGGGAAGTCACCTTTTACCATTGTCTTTATTGAAGCAGCCTAGGGAGAACATTCACAATTCTCTACAGGGCACTTGGTGAAGCCCAGACTGTTGAGGTCTGAAAGCCTAGTGAGCATGTATAGATTGAAGGATTTGATCAATTCCATTTTCGATTCAGAAGCTCAGCTGAATTTCGGATTCTCTTCAATTAATTTTCGCCAAAATTGTCACGAAAAGGTAAAATTCTGCAGTACGTGAACTGGATCATTTATATTCACATTTGTGAAAGTGTTGCAGTGACCGGCGCACTCCACTATGAACCCGGTGACCCGAGTTTAATTCTTTGCAATGGCTAACATTTAGCGGTGAGTGTCATCTGAAATGGCCATGTGCCTCTCCCTTCACTAACCTGCACTGACCGATAGGGTCAAGTATAGTAAAAAAAAACGGCAGAGTGGAACGATTTTCAGCTCTGGGTGTGTGAGGGTCTGAATGTGCAAGAAGGGTGGACACAAGACCAAGAGCCTTTTATATCATACATATTTAAAACAACAGGAATCAAGACCGCCATGAGATCAATTAACATAAGGCCTATTTATACGAGACACACTCCACTCAGAATCATAATTGTTATGCATCCTGGGGATATCCGATGAGCTATGAAGCTATTTTTCATAGACGCCCAGTAGGAGCAGATCATAAAGTTACAACAACATTTAAACAATAAACGATAGGAGTGAAAAGTGTAGGAAAATCAAGCAGGTCACTGAAAATAAATAAAGTATGTAAGTACAAATTGCATAAGTACATCAATTCATGGCAATTTTTCAATACAAATGCTATCTTGGGCAAGGCAGCAAAACAACAAAAACAGTCCCAGACCACACCGACGCAACAAACTATCCCTCAATAAAATTGCACAATAAAATGTAACGATCGATACACGGGTGAGGATCAAAGTTACAAATCACATTCGCACACGTGGCTGTATCCAGCACCAATCTTCTGCTTCGGTACATTTATGGAGGAAGATTTACAATGTGAAGAGATGAAACAAGGTTGTTTCAAAACGCTGGTGCTGCAATGGCAAAGGCATTGTCACATAATCTTGACTTAAAGCTTTCGTGACTGCAGGAATTCATACTCTTTGGGTCTTTCGGTAAAGTCACGTAGAAAAAAAAATCACGACGTTTCGATTGCAACACAAGCAATCGTCTTCAGGCGAAAAAATACAGCAGGCGGACTGCTGAGGCAGGAAAAAATATAGCCGCTATATTTCTACTGCCTCAGCAGTCCGCCTGCTGTATTTTTGTCACGTTCCAATTCTTGCTTTTGGAATGGTTAAAAGGCAATTAGATGGACATCTTCGGTATCTTGGATTTGACGATGGGATTCATAAATTAGCCAAGCATAGCACAGATTTGCAAAGAAGGATTTTATGGATGAACAGGGCCCACAAGTCATCTTGCATCAAGTTATGTAAGATTGTATATTAAGTTGAGGTCAGAATGTTGGGTCCTGGATGGTACATCCACTGCAAATCAAAGAGCAGAATCATAAAGCGGGTTTAGTCTGTTTAGTGTTTTATTCCTAGCTGATATGTAAACAGCTTCAGAGTAATCACACAGTGGAAGAATTATAGCTTCAACAATTTGCAGGTGCAATTAAATGGGAAAACAATGTTTGGTTCTGTACAAAACCCCTTATTTTATTTTATTTGGATGTCATCAATATGGGGTTGGAATGGAAGTGTTGAATCAAGCAGTAAACCCAAGTATTTTAAGCGCTGGTCAATGATGTTGTTTCTGATATCCATAATAGGTGAAGGGAATGAAACAATTTTTATTTGAGTCCACACAGAAGGACAGCGATACAACTTTCTTGGAGCTTAAATTATTGGAGCGCTGTTTCTGTAATGAGGACGCAGTTGCTTTGTTATCAGCCATATTAGCAGGATTAAGATGGGTCTTTGGGAGCCCCGAATACGAGCAGAGCCTGGCCCTCTCCATGTCAATCAGTGAAGAACTTTTAAAATCCTGTTGCATGGCCTGATGGCCCATTGATGCCATGCTCAGAAGTCATCACCTCATCCACCTCCTTTTCAGCCTCTCATTGGGTTTTGCTCCACATACCGCGGCAGCGACAATTAGTACACCCCAATGTCACTTACTGATAGTTTACCAGAACAAAAATCATTGCACATCTACCAATATTCCTCTACACAATTATAGCTTAGCCTACTGCTCTCTCCAATTACACCCTCATAATATCTGATGGGAATCACTTCCAGATATAATCAACATCTTAACGAATGAACTAAGTTATGATAGTCACCCAAAATGAACATCTTTTTCATTGTTCACGTAGAAGGGAAATAATAAAATAATTAAAATAATTCTTATTTCCCTTCTACGTGACTTTACCGAAAGAACCAAGAAGATGAATCCCTGCAGTCACGAAAGCTTTAAATCGAAATTTATCTTTTTCATTGGTTTCATGTCTTAAACTAGTCAACATTGTATTGCTTTATACATTACAAAGATCTAGCACATATCTATACTGCTACAGTAAATATACAGTATGAATAATTATCTGTAGTTGTGTTCATTTTAACATTGTTTAAAAACATTTCCCCCCACTTCTATGCATTCTTTATACGGTAATACTTTTATTATTACAAGATACTGTTTTACATTAAACTACTTTCGCCTGTCCTTCGGCCCAATTATAAAAAGGATTTTTTTCCTTGAGAAAAGACCTCGTGTCTCTCCTCCACATGGTAACTTGAGTTTCTCTGAACACATGAGTGAGAGCACGCATGGATTTCACAATTCGCCACTGGCTCCACAGCCTGGCTATTGCATTTGCGCTTATCGGTGGTTCCTCCTCGTGCCTCTGTGTCATGTTCTCTCTCCGAGAGTGAGCGAAGACCGTGCAGTTTGTTACACGTCGAAAATATTACTGTTACTAAAAATACCAATGTGCCATACAATGCACCAGTGGTGGCTCCTGCAAAATCTCTCAGGGGGGGCAAATGTCTGGATGATTGATAAGGATAAGGTCCACCCTTGCAAAGGATAAATTAACAGCTTAAGCATGTAAAGGCAACTTCACTTCTTTAATATTAATGAAAAATAAAGTGACTCTTACAATACATCTTGTTTGTTTCTATACTCACTATTAATACAATCCACTCAAGTTTATTTTGTTAAAGATTCCACTAGGTGGCGACAAATTATATTGTTGGATGAAACGTGCTTACGTATGATGACGTAAGCACGTTAGGGCGAGCCCTCCCGGAAGCCATAGAGAATGCATTGCAGCGCCCCCCGGTCGAAAAAAAACATCTTTGAATGTAAGTCTATGGGGCCACTCGAGGCGATTCTCAGCCGGAGTGAAATCACCCAAAAAGAGGCGGTACTCCACAGAACGTGACATGACGCTGATTGGACTATATCCAGAGGCACAGTGACGGCTAGCGTGACTGTGGTTGAATGACATTGGTGGTGCGTCGCCCAATCGCCCTAATGAAGAAACCGCCCCTGCAATGCACGAATATACGCCTCCTACAGGAGGCACAGTAGACCTATAATTCGACAAATTCACATTCTGCCTTGTTTCAGGCTCCAGATACCATCCGTGCACACTCCATTCTGTACATCGTGGCATGCCTCTCCACACACACATCCTTTAGGAAGACATCACAACGTTGCACAGTGCAGCAGTGTGGGCCTGGGTGAAATCTGGAGCCAAACCTGACCATGTAAGCTCTGGCTCTGGGTTCCACTTGTGCACACTCTGCGCTCTGTCTGGTGACACGCTTCACTTAATGCGTGCTTCTGTGTATTGCTTTTGTAAATTAACTAAATGCAGCAGCTGGCCATTTCCAGCACGTTTGAGTGGCACCTATGTGAATACGTTTCCACTGTTTATCCTGTAATTGAAATTTGTTACCATCTATAAAGCATATTTTTCTGAACAAAGAGCTGGTCTGAAAAATCTGCAAAATACTAAGCTATTATTTTTGATATTCTTAGGTTTTTTCGGTAAAGTCACGTAGGAAAAAACCTAAGAATATGAATCCTTGCAGTCACGAAAGCTTCACATCTAGAATTATTATTTTTGAATCGACAGTTGTGTTTAAAGCAATCGATATTTACCTGGGAGCTTGCAATAATGGGAATGTGTAAATAGTTTGATAGAAGTTGAATGGTATATTTAAAAACCTACAATTACTGTCATAGTATTGACTATATCTCTCTGCATCTATAGGCCCCGACAATGACAGTGCCCTTGTGTTCCTTCCTGCAGCTCTTTATTGTGGACAATGGTGCAGACGACTGGAGAATTGCGATGACCTACCAGAGGATCTTCAACATTGGCCTGGAGCTCCTCATATGTGCCATCCATCCTATCCCGGGAAACTACACGTTCATGTGGACAGCCCGCTTGGCTTTCACCTACGTCTCGTCGGTGAAGGAGGCTGACGTGGACATTGTGCTCTCCATCCCCATGTTCCTGCGCCTTTACCTGATCGCACGCGTCATGCTGCTGCACAGCAAGCTCTTCACCGATGCGTCATCGCGCAGCATCGGAGCGTTAAACAAGATCACCTTCAACACGCGTTTCGTGATGAAGACGCTCATGACAATCTGCCCGGGCACTGTGTTGCTCGTCTTCAGCATTTCCCTGTGGATCATTGCCGCTTGGACCGTGCGCGCATGTGAAAGGTAAGTGCACAGAACACTTAAGATGCCCCAGCGTCAGACAGTTAATGAGCTATGAAATATCCCGTTAACATGTTTAACCACTTCGTGCTGATGAACTAACATGCGCTTTGTTTCGGGGCTTGCCGGGGCGGCTAGAATTTGGGTAATCAAGCGAGTGTGTTATGTTTGTGTATTTCAACCAAAGATGAAAGTATGTGTGTGCATAAGTTCAGTCCATGTCTTGGTTGCACCTTTGTGAAGTGGGTGGGGGGGGGTTGTAAGGGGTTAGGGCAGCAGAGTACTCTGGTAAAGATGATCTGATATGAATGAAACTCTAATTTAAAGATGTGTTGCCATTAGAGAATTACCCTGTTGAAATCCAGCCAACTGATCAATCGGTTACCCAAAACTTGGAGACAAAAAAAGTGGACAAAAGACCCCCCCCCCCGGCTCCGCATCACGGAGTTGCTGGCTGCAGTGCACACCGCCCGCCCCAACGGAGTGCCTCTCCGAGCCCCGTGTCTCACCGCAGCCTCGTTAACGTGATCCAGTATGATCGAAAGTTAAGTATGAAGTTGTGTTGCGATTAGGGACTTCCTCTGTTGAAATCTGGCCAAATTGATTAAAGGGATTGCCTACGGCGTCTCCAAAAGAGCCGTATCTGAGCTCTGCTTCCCGCAGGCCTGGCATGAGCGCCTCTGTTATTGTTATTATCACTGATTAAGTACTTCAGGGGACAAAGGAATAATAGAGAGCATTACAGGAGCCATGCATATGCATGGTGTTTTTCCTCATTCATTAGGGCATTGGAACTTAAAACTGGCAAAGGATGCCTTATGCTACATTTGGGATTAAGGAAAATAATTTTTCATTAACTGATTATCCACATGCTATGCTATTTAAAGTATGCAGTGCCTGTATTTTGGAGTTTGCTTTATACTATTACGGTGGTTTTATCATTAATGCATTACTTATGTCAATATATCTGTCTGCGTGTAAACTTAGCGATAAGTAACCAGTGCAGAATTTCAAAATATTTCAGCCAAGGAAATTACATCACGTACATGTCAACCCCTTATCAGTGCCTACCTTATTACAGACCAATTCACACCTTATTGGTCACCCCGTGCCTTTATAAATCTCAACGTTTATTCTACAAAATGCCATCACAAGGGAGAAACACAAACACATTTTTGTTTGCCTGTATTGAAACGGCCTGAAAACTACATTTCCTTATACAATAATATGGGTAAACCGTATGGGTTGACAGGTATGACATTGCGTTCCAATTTCTGGCCCATGACGTAATTATACGTGACGCCATGTCATGTGCTGTGTAATTTCATGTAATTTAGATAGAAATTCATCAACTGCCATGATCAATCCACAGCTGAATGAAAGCTTCCCCAAACCGCTGCCATCCCCAATAGTTCTGCGAACACAGACATAATTTTTTTATTTTATCTTTAGACGTGACTTAACCGAAAGAACCAAATAATAATTCCTGCAGTCACGAAAGTTCTAAAATTAAGATAATTTCAACCGTGATGATGGTTACAAACTGAGTAATCAGTGGAAAGATGTGATTAAGCATGCAAAAAAGATTTAACTACACTTATTTGGACCATCTTATTTGACAGACAACTATTACAAGTTATTGATAGACAGCCAGGCTTGTTTTACCATGTTTAGTTGTTTCTTTATTCACACTATTGTTACGTAGGCCAGGCTTAGTCACAAACCGTACCTCTCCATAACAAAGGCTCAGCCTTTTGTTATGCAGTCTATTCTTAATCTTAAGCCTCACCTTAACATATTAATAAAAAGTGTGCCATACTTGGCCCTTCCCCTCTCCACCCATTACATATACGGAGTGGTAGCTCTTGTAATCTCTCATTTACTTGATACAGCTGTCGTGGCTGTGACGGTTCCGCCTGAAGACGGAAGCTTGTGTTGCCTCCGAAACGTCGTGATTTTTATTTTATTTTACTTTTATTAATTTTAATGTTTTACCTACGTGACTTTACCGAAAAAAACCTAAGAATATAGTTCTGCGATGTTCTAATCTACCTAGCACTTGCACACCGCATAATTCTCATCTTCTCGCTTGGCTCCCCACTCGGTCATTATGTGTGCTATATATGAGCCTAAAAAGAGATGAGGTTGATCTAGCGCTCAGGAATTAAGATATGTTCTTTCGGTAAAGTCACGAAGAAGGGAAATAATAGAATAATAATTAAAAAACTATAAAATTATCACGAAGTTTCGATTGCAACACAAGCAATCATCACCAGGTGTGAAAACCACAGCAAGAAATTTTGAATAAAAACGCCACTTTTTTCCAACTTTTTTCCAATTTTCTTGCTTGTGTTGCCATCGAAACGTCGTGAGAATTTTATTGTTTTATTTTTATTATTTTATCATTCACCTTCTACGTGACTTTACCGAAAGATCTAGGATTGAAGCTTTCGTGAATCTAGGATTGAAGCTTTCGTGACTGCAGAAATTATACTCATTGGTTTTTTTCGATACTGAAAGAACCAAGAATATGAATCCCTGCAGTCACGAAAGCTTTAAATAAAAAAAAATTAACGTGAGGTGTTCATTCTTGCTAGCTATACAGTATTCAGTTGGAATATTAGGTGACTTTGTCCTTTTTCTGATCTCAATCCCAACAGAAATCAAGATAAGGTCACATAAACTAAACACATGGCCACAAATCATAGCTCAATGAAGTGGCTTATCATGTGGAAATTTATAGCAGCCAAATACTCTAAACGCGTGCTTCTTAATGTGGAGGGAAAAACCGGAGGACTCGGAGAAAAATCCACGCGACTACAGAGAGAACGTGCAAATCCAAATTATAAGGTCGGAATCGAACCACGCCTCCTATATACAAGGCGTCGCTTACACATTCAGATACGTGGCCTTGTATTGAGTGCTAATTGACCATATTTGAGTGCTAGACTGACCCCTTTTATTTTTACATTCAAACATAATATACCTGCCATTGGAACACGCATTTGTTTACCTAATAAGTGATTTCTCAGTAACATTGGACAGCAAGGGCTAAAAAGACACTTAAATAAAACTTGCTTCCTCCCACTGCTTGCAAGGTTCAGGAATTTAAAACAGTTGTAATGCCCTTTGATCCCATCGACCATCTGGTTATCCTATTTCTTGAGAGCTTCTCTAATCCTACTGAAATTATAATTGTGCCCAAGGAAATGGATGAAATATGACTCCATTATTTAGATTTGGCAACCAACTCTCAGAGTATTCAATGGCAAAATCATGGGCCAGTGCTGACAACAGTGAAGGCATCAGGTTTTTTAGGATGCAGATCAAGTTATCCTGATGGATTATATATTATTTATGTATTAAAAGGCGGTACAATCACAAGGCAGTATTATGCAAATACAATTTTGACTTTAAGCAAGCTTATATGTCTGGAGAGAAAAGACATGTGGGTGTCGATATTGTGATTACATTCCAGACAATATAGAGCATATATAATTGGCCTGTTTGAGCATTTGAGTGATAGAAAAGTATATTTTAAAGAAAATTTATTACAAAAATTGTAGACCTATTTTTTTACTTTAATAATGAGCTTTCCAAACACGAAGTTGATAACTGCTTTTGAGAAAGTTTCCGCTTATTATTATTTTTTGCAGGTGGAATAAAGTAAGAATGTTATGGTAGCAGAAGTCTTTGTCCTTCAATAGCAATATGCATAATGAAGTGGATTGTGAGGTCAATAAACACGCGTGGCCTTGTATTGAGTGCTAATTGACCATATTTTAGTGCTAGACTGGCCCCTTCCATTTTTAAATCCTTTATATAAAGTTCGCTTGCTTGCTTGCTTGCGTGCTTGCTTGCTTGCTTAGGACCGTGCAAATCTTTCGCTCGTTTTTTAACCCACTTACCCGTGATCCAATCGAGCTGACATTTTCCACACAGACTCGTTGTCTGTGACAAATAATTTTCGTGAAAAAAAATTCCAAACTTTTACACTGTTTAGGGAAAACAAATTAAATATTTAATTACCAATTGCTTAATACTGGCAGACAATCATCTGACCCATAGGTAGCAGCCATCTCAAGCGAGAGGACGAGAAGACTCTAGCCGCCACGCATATAAAGGATTTATAGTGAAAAACTTTGTTTTTACGGGTTTACTTGTTACATTCAAACATAATATACCTGCAATTGGAACACGCATTTGTTTACCTAATAAGTGATTTCTCAGTAACATTGGACAGCAAGGGCTAAAAAGACACTTAAATAAAACTTGCTTCCTCACACCCTGCTTGCAAGGTTCAGGAATTTAAAACAGTTGTAATGCCCTTTGATCCCATCGACCATCTGGTTATTCTATTTCTTGAGAGCTTTTCTAATCCTACTGAAATTATAATTGTGCCCAAGAATGCATCACTAAATAGATTATACGCATGATGGTTTTATTGACATCAATCCAACAGTTCTACCCATAATGCAATGTGCATTTATTTTGTAATAATTTTTTAATTATTGAAGAGCTTGTCTGTTACTCAATAGCTACTATTAAGTCACTATTCATGTTCACATTTTCAAAACTGGTTATCAGAAAACTTTTTAAAACCTATTGTTCATTAGGCCCCATGGTGTAAAGTGCATTCTCCAACTCTCATGTTTTCTGAAGATTCATTTGGGGAAACAAAGGGTAGCTATATTAGGCATGAAAATATCAATCACAGTCATCGTAACATGGGGATGAACTGCCAATGGGAATGAGCTGCAGGAAATGTCAGAAGAACTTAATAGAGAAAGCTTCATGGTTGGGCTCAGGATAAATATGAGTATGTCAAGGTCACGTACAACAAGTTGGCTAAATAAATAAAGACATGTCGGAGGGGCAAAACTGGAAACACTGCAGAATGTGTTCCTAGGACAGCTAGTGAAGGTCGGTTTTAGGCGACTATTTAATACATTCTAGACTTGAAGCTTTCGTGACTGCAAGGAATCATATTCTTAGGTGTTTTC